ATTATCTTTAATCGAATACACCGCTGATTCAATATATTTTTCTAAATAATTTATAAAATTAAGATCTCTAAGTGACTTTAGTATACCAATAAAAAAGCGTTCTTATTAAGTTCTATGTTTAGCCCTTCTACTTTGTGTGCCAATACCAAAGAAACCTTTGTGAAACTTTGGTGAACTTATATAAATAATGTTACATATGAGAAAAGCATAGAAGCGTATCGCGTAGCTGAAGCCATTGCGAATAGGAAGCGAACTTTTTAGGTAGTACATCAGGTTAAATAAAACGGTCAAATATCTTCAATTATAAACCTTATTACGTTGAAGTTAAAGTTATTAATCGATTCAGGAATTCGGTATTTTATAGTAACCTGACATACTGCTGTGTAAACCACCAATCGTACGAGTATTATTGAAACATGAAGCTCATTTCCGAATGTCCAAAATTGTATATTAATTAATCTTTTTCTCATTTAATATATAGAAAACAGACCAGTTTGATATCAATATCATGAATGATCAAGTCAAACGAAATATCGAATAGGCATTGATCTATGTCCGGTTTTCCCCTTTTTATATACTGAAAATAGATGCAAGCAAATTATTCTTATATATCTTTGAAATAGAAAGACAAAAAATAATTTGCATTTTTTGTCTTTCTATTTCAATATATTTATTTTTCAGTGTTTTCTATAACATACTAAAAGTATATTTATTTTTGCTCCTCAAACATCAAAAGCCATGCTAATACTATAGTGAGCGAACTGTTTATATTGCAGTATACATATAAACATCTTGCTTTTAAACAGCAAATTAAAACATTGTTAATTTACAGCTGGTGCTTTTATAAACAATAAAAAACTATATAAAAATACTCATTCAACTATTTGGAAGAAATATGAAAGACACCAGATATAAATTGAATTAGCATACGGGCTGGGGATCGCCGTCAATAAGGAAAATGATAACTTGTACTTTTGAGACAATCGTGGAATGGGAAAAGTGATTGATGGCGATCCTCATGCTTACTAAATGCTTCCGGTTCATCAATGGCTCTGGAAAGTCTGTATATGGGATTAGGCGTAACATGGTATTATTTCTTTAAAGATATAGGGATCCTTAGAGTATGGGCAGAGCTAGGGTGTTTCTTGTTTTCATAAACAGGTTGGTGTGTAATAAAAAAAATCAAACATTGCTGTTTAATACTTGTCGCGCAAAATATCACCAATCAAAAATCATTAATAATATAACAACACGAGCCTTCGATCACGTCAAAAACTTAAAGAGAACCGTGATAAATCATCCACAGGGTACTCGTCCACTGAACGCATTGCATGGATTAGTCAAAGTCATTCGTCCGTTTTCGCTTTTTTTACAAAGGAATAAGAGTTATGTCAAAGTCTTCAGCGACGGAGCCATAGACGAACCAGGCATGTACAGTAGTTAGAGTTAGTCTCACGAAAGAAGTCCCTCGGATCACGATGTTTTCGCTTTTATTACAAAGATATAGTGGTTCTACCGCTTCTACCGTCCAGTGTTGGCATCACATGGCACACGCAACAGCATCGCACGTTGAGAATGACAATGTCACTAACCAAAAACGATATATTTTTTACTTTTGGCAACATTTTTCATTGTTTTGTATAAACTTTAAAATGCAAAGATCCCTGTGAACGTAGTTTGCATAGAAACTGCTAGGTGGCGTAGTGACGATACGTTTTTTAGAAGAGCGGAATACAATTTCTTGATATTAAAACGCTCATTACTGAAAATCGTATTTTTTGCATGTGTCACTATCGTTCTCAGCGTACGATACAGCACTATGTTTATTTCGAATGTTTTAATTTCAGCTTAAATGTATGTGCTACCATTGAACAATTATTTCTTCACGCCGCGGGAATTAATTCGTGAGACGGCACTCCAGCGGCGCAACTTACATTCTTAAGCTTGGCGGCGGCGTGGTGATGGTGGCGTGGTTTCGCGCGCGGTGTTACCTGCACGCCGTGCTTGGTGTGGGTGACGGGCGCGGTCTGCTTGGCCAGCGCGGAAGCTAACTCGTCCTGCAGCTCGCCCACCTCCAGGCACTGCTGCAGCGCGTTCTGCGCTAGCACCACGTGGTAGTCGATGCCCGCGTGCTCCACCGCCACGGACATGAACAGCTGGACGCACTGAACAAACAGCAGACGGCATTGTCAGAGAGAGCGACAGAATTCGCCACAGATAAGAACAGCTGGACGCACTAAACAAACAGCAGGGCGATACTGTAAACATCCGAACATGAATTCACGTCACTTAATGTAGAAATTCTGTTGATTCCATTTTTGAACAAAAATTCAATTATAATTATCTCAGATATTTTGCTCCTACGTCATTTCGAAACTCACTTCACTTGTCTCACGGAACTATATTGCCAATTCAGGTAGAGCGGATGCCGCTTTGAAGATAATTCGGACACCTGAGTGGATTCGAATTTGGGTTCAGATTTTTACAGAATCGCAGGACGGTACAGAGAGAGAAAGAGATAGAAACTGAATTTCATAATCATGAATAACCGTACGAAGCCCACTGTTGAGCATAGGCCTTCCCTACTTAATTCCATAGCCATCGGTCCTGCGCTACCCGCATCCAACAGCTTCTCGTAACCTTTATATGATCGCCGGTCCACCTAGTGCGGTTAACAGATTAACTGAATAAACTGATTCCACCAACTAATAAATAGCTATTTATCAGCTGAACGCACTGATATAAACAAATAGGAAACTGAAAATGATGACAGAAAGCGCCAGTGTAAATAAAAGGAAACGGGATATAGAGCTACAGGCACAAATACAAGCTAATTGAATAAACGGGATCTAAGGTAACACAATGTGGTAGTCAATATACGAGTATCTACCGCTCGGACCCACTGTTTTATACAAATAGGAGACTGGATAGATAGAAACTAATAACAGAAAGCAACAAAAACAAATAAATGCTAATACTAACACTATATATTTATATAATTCTAACCTTGAATAATTTTAACGCTTCAGCTTGCAGTGCCTCCGAGTTGAGGGATGTGAGAGGCGACGTGATGTTTTCCTTTGAATATAGTAACGTAGGATGTCGCCACAACACGCAATCTGAAATAATATTTAACATACATATTAAAACACACATCAAATTCGCATTCACAATACTATACTGAATAATATTCTTAATTAATAATGCTTAAAAAATCTACTTGGTCCCTGGCACTCTGAGATGGGCCTGCCCATCCTACCCATCTGGTCCCTGGCACCCTGAGATGGGCAGGATAGGCAGGCCCATCTCAGGCTACTAGATACTAAGTGGATTTTTAAGCATTTTTCACTATGAATAATATATAGAGAATTAAAAGAGGTATAATAAAAAGTTTTTAGTTAAATGCTTTTATTGTAAAGAAGTCTTAGCTCTAGGATCTGGTATTTTGTTGCGTCTCCGCTAATCCAATTTTGTAGATCAAAGCTGAAAATCATAACTTTGCTTTACAAGCAAGCATATTACTGAGCTTTCGCCTTTTTGTGTCGTCCGTTGGCGTCTCAAAAAAACTAACCTTTTTGTAGTGGTGGTCATATTGACTTAACAATAATATTCGATATATACAATTATATCGATAACAAAATTAAGATGTGTATCAAACAGGTCAATCGCTTAACAAGAAGGGTGTAAAATAAGTACTTACTTAATTTGCCCAACAAACTCAAATTATACATAAGACTGTTCCTAAACTTACTTGGATCTCCGTCAGTCTCCATGAGTTTCTGTACGAGTTGTTCGAAGTGAGTTCCTTGACTGAGACCACCGCCGCTGACCACAGTGAGATGGTACAGCCAGGAATCTTTATCAGCTTTACTCTCGAATAGAAGATATGTGGGACCCTAGAAATATAACAATGCTTCTTTGAAAGAATCCCTTCCATATTTATTTAAGAACGATTTTATCTTTGTTGAGTAGTTATTTAGACACTAATTATATTTGTGATATTTGGGGAAATTCAACCCGTAATCAGAAGGTGAGATACTGGTTAGAAACAACTATTGAAGTTAGAAAGAAGAAATATTATGTTTTGAACCATAAATGAGTTAATTTCTGCTCCAGCATTTGTGGAACATTTGGAAGTATGTTATCCGTCATTTTTGAAGTTGGAAATATGAAACCTTATTTTATATCTACTGACAAAAATTTGTTAATATCTGTTTTTGTGTAATTTTACTTCTAAGGGTTAGTCAAATAAGGTCGAAAGTTTGTATAGAAGAATATATCATGTCGTTCGGGAAACTAGTGTAATGATAATAAAGATATCATTATTGACCCCAAATAGGGATTGAAACTTTATAAAGAAGAAAATCATGTAATACGGAGCGTAATGATAATAAAAAAGGTATCGTCACTGACCCCAGTTACCTGGTGCTGCGGATAGATGGCGACAGTGAGGTGGTTGCGGGTGTCATCATTCTTCTCCTCCGAATCAGAATCGGAAACGTGTTCCACGTCCTCTACACGGGCGTCACGCATGTTTATTTGACCAGTGGGATTCTGAAACAAAATATTCAATATATTAGACCCCACTGCTGAAGATTTTTCCCTATTGGATAGAAACATAGAGATATAATCCACTACGCGGGCCCATTGCAGAATGGTGGGTGTTCACGAGAACGAAGCTTATCGTGACGTCCGAGGTATAAATTATTATTTTGTTCATCCATTCTATGACTGACCTTTGAAAAATTGCTTTTCTTCTTGACCGCATACCAAATATCCTAACCACTTTGCTCAGATCTCAATTTAACCAGTTAAAACCCACGAAAAACTAAAACAACGATAGTATCCTAACCACGCACTCAAGGCCACATAGGAAAGGTCATTTTTAGGCTTCCGTACACAAAGGTTTAAAAAGGGCCCTAGTAATAAGAATCCACTTACAATGTCATGAGCTCCCTTCTCTATCGACATAATGTAACTTATATAAATAAATTTACTTTCTAGGTGTTTACCTGATCCCCGGGCGATTTGAAGTACAGGAACATTTTCCCTATGAGTACACACCAGCTTTTCTTCGCGTGTCCATTCTTCACTTTGGTGAGCCATCCTTGGATCGTTGGTTTGTTGTCCTCTTTACTCAAAAGCAGTTTGGTTGCGTTCCTCCTTTGGACGTTCTAAGAATAACAAAAAATATATCTGGATAACACATACAATAATTCGGTCACAATTAAAATAAAAAGTTTTTTTTAATGTAATACTTTTAGTTTTGTAAGGCATGGTTTAATGTTCCAAAAGGCTAGCACAAATTCAATATTATTGATTCAATCGAGGCTGTTGTAAACACATCGAAGAAAGAAAAAAAAGCGAAACATATGAGATAAAATGAAATGGATGAAAGGCAAAAGTATTAACATAAAAGACAGAGATAGAAATAGAGATATGAAGGAAGAGTATAAAATGACAGCTGATAGAAAAGTATAGAGGAAAAGAACAAATTGAAAATGGCGCTCATTGTCTAATTTTAAAATCTATTGCAATCCCTTTTATTTTGAGATTTATATTCCCGAACTTCACGTTACAACTATTTTACCTGTGATAGTGATTGTGATCACGACCTTTTTTTTAAGATATTAAATGAACGATATCGCTAATTTGACGTTAATTGGAATTGTCTAAGGCGAGCATTACAAGTAAATATTACTTTAAGTTTATGTTACCAAGTTCATATGTTCTTTTATCATTAAAATCATCATCTCGTAAATTCGGAAAAAACGGTTTAGGAAGAAACATTTTTAAATAGTAATTTCCGGATCCTACTTTCCAGAGATCTAATCGAGAAATTTAGGTAAAGAAAATCTTATTATGTGGAAAGATCGTTGTTTCGGCGTATTAGTAGACGCACAGTAAGTAATATGCCATCAAAGAGAATTGCGTAATAGATTTTGGGATTAGACAATAGACTACAGAGCAGAAAGATAATTATGGTTCCCTTAATAAAACTGTTTACCTGTAGCACCCGTATCCAATCCTCCATGGTGGCGATGCTGTCAGCAGTGAGGTAATAAGTTCTGCTCCCGGTGAAGATCTCGAAGGTGGCCGCGCCTTCGTTCCTGGATATCTTGCAGGCTTCGCCTAGACCTATCTGGCCTTGTGGTTTCCTGTTCACTTCAGACTGCGATTTCCAGTAAGAGAGTGTGCCATTTTTTAGGACAAACCTACAAATAAAACCTTATTTGTAATTTGAGAGCCTTGTAAAAATTCGCATGGGCGCAATATTCATGTAAAAACTAACCCAGTCGCCATTTTTTTTATATACTTAATTATATACCATGTTGATGAAAATCATAGATGTACACTTTTCAGCATATTTTGCTAAATGTTCAGCATGAGAAATATAAAAATGGAAAATAATATCTATGTTAGAATAAAAGGGAATTTTAATGTGTATTTTATAATATTTGCATTTATTTTAATTTAATAAAGCCATAAACCAATTATATACGAAAATTAAAAACGTTTTCTTGCCTTAAAATTAAATCAAATTTATACTTTTTACGAAAATTCCCGCGAAAACGCTATCAATTTTAATCATGACGTCATACCGATATGTGCACAAAGCGTGTTTAAAAAAAAAGATTTTGAATTTTAAGATAATCATGATTTTAAGACTCAAAATTAGAATCTCTATATTTAATACGATATAATCATAGTTTTTGTGCAATTTCATGACTGATTTTCCACTACTGAAACTACCCTATTATTGTACAGTACATACTAAAAAATGTTGTACAATCATTGTTGAGTTTATCGGGCAGGCAAAGATAGACGCAGCGTTAGGTTGAATACTTGTAAACATACTTCACTGTTTGACAGAGATAAATTGCGTATCCCTTACTTTAAAAAAGTTGTCTCTCAGAGTTTTACACATTATTTCAATACATTATAGACAAGTCTGTACTGATTTTGATAATCAATCGTAAGCGTGAATCCAAAATAAAATAAAGATTATGATCTCACCCGCGTCCCGAAATTCCGACAAAGTGAGTAAGTATCAACGAGATAATGCATTACTACAAAACATATGTTATCCTAAATCTGCTAATTGATCTTTATCGATAAAACTTGCCATCTCTTCCTCCAAGTCTTCAGTTTCCCGCCCAGTTTAGCAAGATGGCCGCTCTTCTCTAAAGCGTCGTGACGCCTCGGTGACTCGGCGGCGGGCGGCGCGCGGCACAGCGACGCGAGCGATGGCGACGCCATACTGTCGCACGACACCGCGTCCGGCGGGATCGCGTAGTCGTCCGACATGCCCGACTCGAACGACGTGTCTGGTAAACAAGACAAATTTCTTTATAAGCGCTGTTGCACGCATTTTTAGATAAGTATGTTATACGAGTATGTTTCATTAATTTTTTAATAAGGGTGTACATATACATACATGAAATAGATATAAAAAAGTATCATTCATATAGTAAAATAAAATCTAAAAATAAGTTTTATTATAAAAAAAATATGCAAAAACGCCAAGTTCTGTCATGATGTCGCTATGACGTCACGCCACTCTAAAACTAATATCGTTCTATGAATGCATAAGGTTTAATTCTCTAAGTTCTGTCTTCATGCGCTGTTTGTGTTCACGAGTATATTTTTTAGATTTCTTTATTTATTTAAAGCAATATTATAAATTTAATAAGCATAAAAGTGTGATTATCAGTAATAGTATATTAAACGCTACCAGAAAATAATAATAATAATAATACGTATTTATTTTAGCTTACTGTCTGCACTCGTATTTATTAGTTTATAGGTTTTGACACTTTGTATTTTTGTCTGTCTTCTGCTTCTTATATAATAGTTGAGTAGAATATTTTTTATTAAAAATAACAGTGTCTTGTTGCATTTGCAGCTGATTAATTATCTGTCTAAACATTGATGAAAATATAAAAGATTGAGCAGTTAGCCCGGGCCTAATTTTAAAATCACAGAAGTAATTGTAACCCTGCGAACTGAGTAGGTCCGTCACTTTTAATTAGCTTCAAGTGGAATAAGACTCAAAACCCATCTGGACCACCAAAGATGTTAGAAATTATCGACTCAACTTTTCAAATTTAGAATATTTATTAGAGTTTAGTCGTTATTAAACCGTTAATGGACGTTTGTGCAATTAACCGTTAGTCACTGTAGATTACGTCATAAAAATTACTTTATCGGTTCGTGAATCGACCAAAAACATGTTACATTGTTTGTACCTACTAGAAAGAACCGGCAAAAAACTCGGCAAAATTAATACCTCTCGTCTTGCTCTGTTTACTGGGCGATCCACTACTAGACCTCTTCGCTGGACTCAAACTAGAGCTTGTTTTCACACTTTTCGATGGACTGCTGGCGCTCAAACTGGTGTCAGATGAACTGCACTGTCCATTAGCACTGTTGGTTAGCGCCAACGCGTGATTGGACGTCTGTTGTATTGAAGCTGGTAGGACACTTGTTAGGTTTACATTGTTTATGGGCATCGGCACTTGGTTGGATGTTTGAGCACCTGTAGATGAGATTAGTCTTTGTTAGCAAAGTGATCTTGTCTGGCTTTAACAGGAAATACTTGAACATAATAAAGTTATTTAAAAAATAACCTATTCATATAGGGAGGAGCTGAATAGTTTTAAAGCATTTGTAAATGTGTAGATGAAGTAATGTAATGTAACTTTCGCAAATTCCGCTCATCTGATAGAAGACTATTTAGGATAGGCAACAGCTGAGGTAAAGTTTCACATATTTTTACTTAGATATAAATCATTTGTAAACAGAAGCGTGAATATGGACTACTTATCCACAAATATTAAATATATGTTTGCGATGACACGTAATCAGCCCATAAGGTATTATTACTCTGCAAGCCAGGAACATAACAGATTTTTTACCAGGTTTTTTACCAGGTTGAAAGTGCTACTATAACTCTGGTGGCGAATCACAATAGATCTTCCAGGTCGCAGTGATAACAGTTCCAATTGGAGTCAACCAATAATAAGCCACTCACCATAAATTGGGTTGTGATGTGGAGTATTATGTACAGTGACACCCATAGATTCTTCACCGTCAGAAGAATCATCTGATGAGTCGCCAGTAAACGGCATTGACCTTATCTGACTAGCGCGCTGTAACAACACAATGAATATAAGAAATCACATATTGTAGTTATAGTTATTAGTGATCACCGAATTGTAGAAAGTTGACCATAAAGTTTGAATATTGTTTTTAGCAAGGTATTGAAATAATAGAAGATTTCGTACGGCGAAAATAAAAATGGTGGCAATTTAATGCACTATTTACAATGAAATAAAAATAATGCAAAAATGCAATGCGATATATTCGAAAATTGTAACAGAAAAAACAAAAGAAGAACGCAGACTCGAAAGAAAACCAAGGTTTTCTTTAGATCCAGTAAACAAATGTGATAAACGCATGGTAGTTTTTTAACCTAATATTTTTCAAGGTAGTACATTTTTTACATTTAATGTAGTCTTAATAAAAAATGTCTTCTAATTCTGTGTAAGCGTCGATTTTGAATAAATCTGATATAAAGCATTGATCAAAATCGACTGACCCCTTTTACAGTGGCGTAGACAGGGACGGAGATGTCTTGGTAACTGGTGGACTCGTGCATCGGCCGGGTACACGGAGGGGGGCTCAGTTCACCTTCCACAGATTGTTGGAGTCCATCGTCTGCGACCTGTAAGCGAATTTGAACTTCGATAAATACGTAATAAATTGGAATCTTATGAACTGGTACCAGTTCAGTTTTCGAAAACTAGTTATCGATGGGGTGACTAAAATTATATATTTTATTTACATATTTTAGTAAATTTTTATCTAACATCAATTTGAATTTTATCGTTAATTCTTTCACTCTTTTGTTATGATATTTCCCTACTTAGGTGCTCCATTTTTTTAATAAATTACGAAAGGTGAATAATAAAAAGAAATTATGTTGAAAAACAAAGACAAAAAGTTTTCACGGTCGGTGGTACGACGCATTGTTACTACCAACCGTTACAGCCGTTAGGACAAGAAAATACTGTTTTACTTTTTTATATTTTCTAATATTGTAATTAAAAGTATCTTCATATTTTAATGAAGTCATTTTTCAATCTTGACGTTATGTATGAAATAAAATAGGGAGAAAAAACAACCCTTACCGAGTTTCTTGCCTGTTCTTCTCGGTACTCTAGCCGTATTTACGAACCGATGGCGTAGCTCTCGACTTTCACAAGTCTAGCACTTGTAATAGTCTAGACTGAATAAAATCTGATTGAGAGATGTGGTGTTGGAGAAAAATGCTCGGAATTCACTGGACAGAGCATAGGACCAACGCATCTGTTCTGGCCGAAGTAAAGATAAAAATGAGATTATCCACCACTTGTCCACGGAGAAGTTTCGAATTCTTTAGACACATCGCCATAAAAGGAGGCGCTAATCTCGAAAAAACTTTAATGACGGGGAGAATAGATGGACAAACACCACGAGGAAGAAGCCCTCTACGTTAGTCAGATCAAATCCGCACTACACTCAACACCACAGTCAGTGAGGCCATCCATATCGCCGAAGATAGGGCAAGATGGCGAACAATAGTCCACGAGAGAATAATTCAACGAGATTACGACCCTCAGCATTGAGGATGAACGACGCAAGGAGGGAGACTGAATAAATGATTTTGATTTGATTTGAAAAGATCTCAAGTACAAGGCCGGACAAAAGAATAATAAGGAGCTTAAGTTAAAACGAGAGTGGAATGACATTTAGAAAGAAATAATAATTCGAGAAGTTCAATGGTCTAATGGTTAGCACGTTTGATCTGCAATAAGTAGGTTCAGCAATTTTCGCTAGTACCAGTCATGGTAAGACCGTCAAAGACTAAAAATTTTTTATCATCCTTTTCCTATCCTATCACCCATCAAATCGCATCGGGTCCACTTGGTGTATTAATACTCGTTCTCTCTATTTGATTCCATACATAGTGAAGGCTTGAGGATCCCTGTGGGTTCCTTGCTGGATCTCGGGTCATTCCACTCCCACAGAGGGTATTCCGCAGCGGGTTTTACCAAGTAGGCTTATCACGCTCCAACCTGTACTTTACAAGGTGTGGTTTGAGGCTTCAGTTGCATTTCGCCTGCGTTTCCAAAATGTGCCCCAGAAGTGGAAACATTGATAGGCTGGTTATGAATAAATTAGGTACCTGGTATATCTTCGCTTCCCAGCTGGGGAACCTGTGTAAAGGAGGAGTGGGTGGCCTCGGCTGTTCTGACGTGGAACTGTCCCCGGTAGATGATCCTCCCCGACTGTTGCCTCCTTGCACTACCACGTTGACAGCACCTTGCCACGCGGGAGTACGTTCTATACAAACATGAACTTTATCACAAAGCGTTAAGCTTGAAATATCGAAACAAACAGGGTACCTAGAGTAACTTTGAAAGCTGTAAACTCACTGTTAAGTTTACACTGTTTAAGTATTAGGAATTTTATAACGGGTTAAAAATGCTTTGAAATTTCGTCAAAATTTTATGATTCCGTTACCGGACTGCCGCGTATCGACCATTGCACAGCTAAGCTTACCTTAGATGTATGTTTAATAGGTATGATAGGGGTTAAAAAGATATAAGTTTAAGTTCCATGAGAGTGACTATGCTAAGAGATGATACCTCTACTTGGTGTGTATATTTCAGCGTAATCATGCGTAGTGTCGCCATCTGTAGACGTATTTGGTGTAGTCGGCAACACGACCAGATTTTCAACGGCCGTCTGAAAAGGAACATTTATATCATAAAGTATCTGTTTTTCCGCGACTTCACCCGCGTTAATTATAGTCTATGTCACCCGCGTATAATGAAGCTACCCGTAGATGAAAGAATTTTTAAAATCAGTAGTTGCGGAGCCTATCCAATGTAAACATATAAACAAACAAACTTTCTCCTTTATAATATTATTATAGACTAGCTGTGCCCGCAACTTCGTCTGCGTGGGAAGTATTTTGATAGAATTCTATTATTCCTATGAATGGAGTCGAATCGAATAAGATCAATGGGCCATAACCCACTGTACTTAATGCGGATTGGTGGGTGTTCACGTTGCTGATGCAGCCAGGACTAACGGCTTAACGTGCATTGTGCCAGTGCTGTGCACAGTGCTCAAGATAATAATATTTTGGTCACCCATCCTGTCCTTACGAATGTAATTTTTCTATCTTTTTTCTCGTTTCTCGCGCTCTGGTTGTCGCTTGTGTCTGAGAATTTTATTCGTACCTTGCAACCGTCCTTCTTTTTTTTTTGATATTTTTAAATTATTATTATTGGTCTAGTTGTAAGCACAATCGATTATTTATTGTTGTATTTTTCATGTTATGCTAGTTTGCCTGGAAGAAATCGCTTGCTAGGGATCAGTTTGTCGTTTGTACTTAGTTATGTAAAATAAGTATTCAAGTATATCCTTGTTTATTTCACTGCAATTTAAACCGAATGCGCTAACCCACTACGCCGTCGGACCTCTTATACCTAAGATATATTATAAAGAGGAAAGATTTGGTTGTTTGTTTGTTTGCATCGAATGTCCGCCAAAACTACTGGACCGATAGTTTCAGAGCGATTCTACCAACGGGAAGCTACATCACGGATGTCATAGGCTATAAATTTTGCGGCAAAGTTGCGGGAAAACAGCTAGTTCATTGTACCTTGTGAAAACTTATCTCCGGTACGCCTGTGGAGTATGAAGGCAACACGGGTTGGCGATAATCGAAACTACTTTCTCGATCTCTATTGTGTAAACTGCGAGCTCTTTCAGAGACCAAGCTATCAAAGGAAGTTTCATACTCATACCATACTGCATGTATGTTACGGTTAGCACGCGCTATGGGATCTTCAAAAGTTACCTCAGATCAAACGCTTGTTGTATGAGTTCTCCGAGAGCTCAAGAGATTGTCCCTGACGGTAAATGCTTCAGATTCAACTTTATAGTGCATGAGCCTCGCGATGGGTAGTTAAATATGCTTCGCGTTATTCAGGTGTTTCCCTAGACCGAACGCTTTCCGTCCAATTTCTTTCTTTGTCAATAAAAGTCGGTCGGTACATGTCTGCCGGAAGATACGTGGAGTTTTATTTATTGATGATTTAAAAAAAAATATATATACATATTCTAATTTAGACTTTCCACACTCGAAGGAAATCATCTACTAAAGCGTACTGTCGAGAGGTGCTTAACTGAGCTTCCGTCAGATTTGAACGGCCCTCATCATCATCATCAGCCCTTTTACGTTACCAACTGCAGCAGCCTTTTAGATTAAGGAGGATCGGCCACGACCGTCACTTCAAATTGACATAACTTTTTTATTTGTGAACCGATTAAAATAAATCTTGCACTAAATGTTAATGGAAGAATACCACAATATAATAGTGAAAACTGCATTTAAATCGGTTCAGCCGTTTCTGAGATTATCGTGCACAAACGCACAGACAAACAGACAAACCGACAAACAGACAAACAGACAAAAAATTTAAAAATCATTGTTTTGTGTTCTGTTACGTTTATAAATGTCCATCATAACAGTTTTTTTCATATATCTTCAATGTACAGACATCGATCGGTTACGTTTTTATTATAGTATAGATATGATTTATACAAAAAGAAGCGTGAACCAAAAGTTAGACAAAGATATTTAAACAATTTTCTGTTTGAGTGGATTGCCTGAAAATTGATGAAAATACGCTCTGTAGTAGCGAAAAAGTAACAGTGCTTAAAAGATTCGAGTCCTGGGTAGCTCAGTGGTTAGAGCAGTCGCCCACATTGCAAAAGGTCGTGGGTTCCAGAATGCCAGGGACAAAGTTTTTTAAGCATGTTTCATTAACAATAATCAACATTATTTCATTATAAAAGCTAGAGAATGAAAATATAAATCAAATGTGATTTGAGATAGATGGGGTCGGTCGGGTATGCCGTATGCAGTCTCTACGTTCCTTCAAATTCTTGATAGCCGTTAATTTGCTAATTGAACTCATTTTCGTGACGAGCAAAGAGATAAACTTAGTTGCAGACGTCCTTGAACTAGCAACCGAATGAGTTAGCAACCGAATTCAATGAAATTGCAATAGGAAACTCTGTCGAGACTCCATGCAATTCTTTACTATTCTGCAATAAAATCAGCTTTAAACTCGCTGTCACAGCACAGAGGTTCTATGAAATTAAATGCTAATTACTTTATGAAGTAGGTTTTATTTCCCGGAACCTGTATTGCTGGTCTCTAAGAGCAGGTGCGATTAAAGTACGAATAGGCTGTCGACATCAATGTAAAGAGTTTATAGTCTGTTCTCTATCATATTTCTGTATTCTAGAACTTATGTAGATCATTGTAAATTACCGCTAGGTCGTCGGCCAACAGACTGGCGGTAGTTCTCTCGTCCATGGTCCTATTCATGGTGGTGAGAGCCGCCTGACTGGTAGTGGCAAGGTTTGTGGTACCTATTGACAGGTTCCTTCGATGCCGCACCGGAGTGCTATAGTGCGGTTCCGATGACGTAATCGGCAACTGTCGATACAACATACAAAATTAGGTAATGATGCTTTGAATAATCTGCAATTTCTCTAACAAATTAAATAAGGTAGTGCCGTTTAAGAAATACACTGTTTATGAAAGCATGAGTGGTAGAAACTAATAACAGACTAATTATTGTCCGAAAGTAAATTCACGATGCGGGAGTTTTATCTCTTATTAATTTATTCGAAATTTATAGAAAATATTAACCTCCATTTAGATAAGCATTTTTTTTAAGTCCGATTTTTACTACATTTTTAATTTATGCGCAGGGAACAATGACATATTCTCTTATAGATTTTCTGTTCTCTATTAACTTTAAATTTGATTTAAGATGTAACAGCTGTGAGCGACGGTGCGTTTGACGGTTTAGTTTTTTAGAATACAAAAGTTGGTCACTATGCTAGAACACTTTAACTGAAAACATTCTAGTATTCTTACTAAAAAAGCTTTCAAAACAATGGACCTCCTTACACTGTACTCATCAATTAAAATCGTTAAAGCGTGGTAATTCACTGGACGGGCATGTCCGCGGGCAAGTCTGCGTGCATGCTCGCCGGATTTCGCTACTATAGGACGGGCATGTGTGACTAGTACACGATCGTTGCAATCATTACACAAAACTATTCGGCAAGTTCCGCGAGTATGCGTACAGACTAGCCCGCGGGCACGGCCGTGTAGTGAATTACCCGATTTATAAGTTGTGATTTGATAAGAACATAAGCAATACAAAAAATGTAAGCATTACATTAATGAAATAAGAGAAGGAAATCAGTATTAGTAGTATTAAAAATATTAGAAGAGCACATCGTTAAACTTAAACTAAGACTTGTGCTCCACCAACAAATAAATAATCGTGCACGAACGGCAAAAAATATAGCAATCACTATCACCAACTAATGATTGCAATGGACTTTCGCAAGATATCGTCAGATCCCAATAGGTCCTTACAATTATTTAAATGATTTGAAAAATAAAAGATTTTGCATAAAATCCTTAACAAAAAACTTTTTGAAGGTAGTTGATAAATTTCTAACTGTCCAGAGGCCCAACAAGGTGTGTGAAATTATATAATTAATTCTTAGTATGACCACCAACATTGATACAGATGACAAATAAATAATGTAGTGACATAAAAGTAACATACATCTGGTGCGAAAGCGGAATCCAGAAACAAATCTTTTTAAACCAGAAATGTTGAACACAAACAGGGCAACACAAACTGAAGAATCAACATCTATATTCAAGACCAATTCATCACAAAATTAAATAGCTTTTAAAATAAGTTGACATAAATAAAAGTGCAGTTCTAAAGAGTGAAATGTTTGGCCTAGAGCATCGGTGGCTACCTGGGGCCCTTCAAGGCTCTCTGAGCGCCTTCGGTTTGAGGCCAAAAGACTGGTTGCTGATCTAGTGGAGCTCTCCTCCGTCCTCACTTCAAGAGAGAGGCTCGCTCTTGTCGGTAGGAACTGTAGAATATAGTGTTTTGATTGGGGAAACCGTTAACTATTAAGCTAAAATATACATTACTCTTTATTTCATCCATTACTAGTAACAATACAAAAATAGCTATGAATTTTAATCTATCAAAATTTTCTATATCGTGATATATCATTAGATACCTGCAATTTCTCTAATAAATACAATTTGGTAGTGCCGTTTAAGACATACACTGTTATTGGAAGCTTGGGTGGTAAATAACTGATTACTGTACCCCGCCCGAAAGTATACGGTAGATTTCAATAAAGTAATATACCATTAGATATAGGTAATAGAGGTAGTTATTAATAACATTTACGTTTGAGTATGTAAATTATTTCCATGTTCCTGCATATTATCAACTGTAACACAGTACACTGTGTATATAAATGAATTGACACTATAGTAAAAGCCATTAACAGGAGTTTTTGTTACATTTAATGACATAATTTAAATTTCATCGAGTTTTATGGCAATGTAAATATAATAACGACTTTTTTATTATTTAGTCCTAATATTTTTACTTATATGCATATGACAACATGCATATAAACTGCATAAGTTACAGGTTTATAGTACACTGTGTACATTTAATACATATTAAAGTTACAGTGCACTTCGTTACTTTTAACAGCATAATTTTATTATGATTTTATAGCAATTGTAAAATTCGTAATTACCATATCTTACTATTGGGTTATTAAACTCATTTCCATATATATATAACTACTTATATATATAACTAAGTATACTAGAACTACTTACAGCACAGTTTCTGGTGCCTTGGGCTGCTATATGGTTCCTAAGTAGTTCTAACTGTTGGTTGCAGCGGTCGTTCTGTTCCCGTAGTAACTGGTTCTGTTGTTCCAGCTCTCGTAGTTTATTCGTCACCCACTCTTTGATACGTGCTGCTTTCGCTTCCACCTGCTTCGCGTCCTGGAGTCTTAGCTGTTTCTGGAACATGAAATTGTTTTTTATTATTTTATTTTTTTGTAATAGAATAGAAATATATATTTTTATGATAGCAGCTCGATAGCACAGTGATTAGCGCATTCGGCCTATGATGCGGAAGTTAAGCGGTTTTCGTAAGGACCGGTCATAGGATAGGTGACCAAAATTTATATTATCTCGAGCTGTACCGTGTTTCAGAAAGCACGCTAAACCGTTGATCCCGGTTGTATCAGCGGTCGCTAACATTAGTAAATACGTAGTGGGCCAGCGTAGTGGGTCATGGCCCATTCTCCCTGTGCAATTTCATTCGTTTCCATCCACAGAGAGGACATGTGTCCCAGCAGTTACGACTTTAATAGGTTGATTGTAATGATGATATTACTGAATATTATTATCATTAAGTAGTGTTATTATGTAACTAAATTATTGGTCTTTATTTATTAATTGAAGGGATAGTACACAGCTCAGTACAAACTGTAATTACAATTTTTAATTACAATCTAAAGTCCAATTACGGCCATCCAACAAATTACAATTTTATTATTTATCAGAGAAACAGACGAGTGCTCCATTTAAATAAAAACAGTAATATTAAAATTATTAACTCAAAAGAAAGCGTTTGGTTGTTAGTTTTTTAAAATAACAATGATAATAGAATACTCGGATAAGTACTCGTATTTTATGTGCATTCTTAGTTAAATATATACTTTTTGCATTTGTAGTTATATAACTGCATTTTGTATTAGGTTTGTTGTTTCGAAAGATCAAAAATGGTGTTAACAGTTGCACATGTAACCAGAATTGCCCAACTCTACATAACATATATTGTACAAGTAGCACCTAATCAAAAACATCTCTAAAATTAACTTATGTTTATTTCTTTACGTGATTACACTATTTTATAGGGAAAACTGGTAAATATTTGAGTCACTTGTAGCCGAATACTTTACCGAGAACTTTTAAAGTAAATGAATGGTTTGCGAATAACTAATTTAGAATTAGATTTTTACGCATAGTATGGTAATCATTTTTGTATGAAGACAAACTTAACATGTCTTCCAAAGACAGACAGTCTAGATTTAATATAGTAGAACTCCTCTTTTTAGTTTTTAAGCGAGTGCTATTATATACTAGTGGCCGCCAGCGACTTCGTCCGCGTTTTCGATTATTTCTTCGCTCCTAATAGTTGCAGCGTGATGTTATATAGCCTAAAGCCTTCCTCGATAAATGGTCTATTCAACACAAAAATAATTTTTCAATTCGAACCAGTAGTTCAAACAAACAAACAAACTCTTCAGCTTTCTAATATTAGTATAGATACTGCTAATACTATTTTACTGACCTGTTCTTCAATCTGCCCCTCGAGTCGCGAGATGGCTCTAGGCGCGCCTTCTGTGCCCGCCGGCCATTCGCACAGCCGCTGCTCCATGGCGCGGACCTACAATAGAAAAAATATAAACACATAAATATCTCGAATAACATCAACACATTCAATGTGAAAAATTATAGAATGAATTAAGTCAGCACATTTTTCATTAAGTTCAGTTTATCTCTGATAAATTTTAAGTGACGAAAGTTGCTTGCAGTGCAGTTCGAATAATTTACAAGATTTTTAACCGCATACTTCTATATGAAAGTAAGGAATTCTCTGCTACCCGTTATCAACTAAACCTTTATTCGTCATAGAGATAGTTTTGGGAGAGACATGGACTACCTAATTAAACCACAAGATCAAAATCTAATAAAAAGTTATAAATTTACTATTATAGATTAATAAAAATATCCACAATATCCCAACAACGTATTCTTGCTTATGCCACACAATGGACAAAGGTGACAATAGTCTGGAAAAACTGATTGTGGTGGGAAGACTGAAGGCAAAAGATTCACGATCGGTAACCGTAATCTTCGAAATTTTAAATATCATCACGGGGATTCTCAGTCATGAGGGATTGACTAGAAAAGAAAGAGAGGGAGATAAAATGTATTATTATATACGTAAATCACAACATAACCCTTGTCGGTTCTTTTCAATAAAATATCTCGCTGTAAAGTTAATTGATCATTAATATTTCAAAGTTACTGTGAAACAATTTTACCAAAAAAAAATATATTTCAATGAAACTACTTGTAGTGGTTTGACTAAGTTTATTTTGATGATGACATAAAAAGGGTATCACAGAATCAAATTTTTGGATCAATAAGGATACTTATAATAGAAGAGGGAGAATTCAAATCTATACCTAACTTCAATTAGCTAAGTCACAGTGGAGAACAAACTTAATTTGTTCTACGAACAGTAAATGGTATCCTCGTGGCGACAACGTGGATTATCAGATCCAGTAATAAAAAGATAAGAATCAACTTTAATCAACACTAATTTAGAAGATGAGGAAATTGGTTTGTAGCCATTACTTTAGAGAGTCAATCTTCGACCAAATTAATAACATAATTGATGAAATTAAAGTTTCTACTCCGCTACTTCATATGTGAGCCTTTAGTTTTGATCGTAGTTGTTCGGTTCTTATACACTTTTATTTTAAAGATGAGAAAGTCACCAATAATTGAGCTTTATAAATAAGTAAAGCTTTATATATTATAGATAAGATGTTAAATTTATTAGATAAGTGGACAAATATTATATTTTCTCCTAAATACAAATATCAATCAGGGTTTCGTATTAAAACAGAATTGCAAATCTTTATTGAATTGTTATATGCGAGTGAATATCCAATTTCCTGTAATTAATTCCACGAGAAAATGTACCCTATAAAATGCCCTGGAATCTAATCGAATACCTAATCAGTGTACATCCAAATACCTTGCAGTAGATTTTAAAATAAATATACAGTATCAATATAAATTCATTCATCTCCTAGATTGTTTTATATATTCAACTTAACCCATTTATTTCATTACAGTAAAACACATTATATTAACTAGGTCTAGTGATATCGCTGTTGCAAAGCAACCAGTCTTATGTAACACGAGAACCGCAAAACCACAAGCCCAACATCCGACACGGCAGGAGTGTTGCAATCTTGCCATTAATGTTGGTATGATAAAGTGACAAGAATTCAAAAGCTTTTAACCGCACTGTGCTGGAGAATAGAGGTAATGAAAGAACATATTATAATCCAATTGATATCTATTTAAAATCACAATGTTGATTCTTACAGTTTTGTAAGAATATCAATACGGAAGTATATTGGCGCGAAAATGAAAAAACGTCAAAGTCAAATTGACTACTAACTGACAGAAAGAACGAGTACTACTGGCAGCACTATTTGAGTACAACCGACAAATAGTGCTGCCAGTAGAAGTAGTTCTTTTTGCCTCTAACATAGGATCGTATAGTATTATTCGAATAATTTAAATAAACAATAGAGGCAAATTGGTTTCAAAGTAATCGTATGTGAGAGATACATCCGTACCCTGCTTCAGCGTGTGCTCCTACAGAAGAGACTAAATGGGAGTTATCTGCTCAGCGTTAGTATTCTGACAATGAGTGGCAGATTTCGAAGGTCTGTACCAAATCACATTTATTCTAAATTAAATTATATAACATAAGAAAACATCGGTAAATTATTTAAAAATAAAAATGCTACTTCAAGATCCAAGAGTCTGTCCATCAGATAGTAAATATTGTTAGACAATAATCTGAGACAACGAAGGCACCACAACACCCAGACCCAATGTGTTTTTTTTGTTTTATTTTAATAAGAAATAGATAACCGGCATTAAATATGTTATTAAAGATGGGCTCGCTACGTTCACAGTCTTGTAGAAAAGTGTGACGTCATGTATCATTTTAACACAATTTATCGACATAGTTTATAGATTACGCAAAAAAACCGTATTCAAAATTCTTCAATAATCTAAAAATGTCATTATCCCTATAATCCTTCACTATTAAGACGAATCCTCAAATGTAATCATTATTACTATTAAAAGTTCTTGCAAGTAGTTAAAAACTCATTAACCGAAACTGAAATTGGTTGTTAGCGTTTTATTAATTAATAAATCCCCAACCAATCCCTAATGCTGTACTATGAGTAATGCACCCAATTTTATTTACAATAGCGTGAGCTACATTATCCCTCGAAGGGATCAAATCAGACTTGGGGTTGAAGCCAATCAGCCATATTGGGATCAACTCGCAATATTTCGAATTGAAACAACCATGATTCGACACGATGCGGATTAAGGCCTGTGTCGTGCTAAACCACATTTGGTGCGTCAGATTAATTAAATAATTTTCTTTGGATTTCGTTGATTAATCACTGTCTAGTCTGTTTGTATAAGATAAGTAGCTTGTATTTAGCTTATAGGGATTCATTTGCGTTATTACAATGCTATAATTGTAAATACATTTAGTTACTTATGTGGTAATTATACAACTACAGAATATTATTCCAATACAATTATTAAGTTACAATGTTAGAAAACAAAAAACGAAAAGTTTTATTACAACGTTTACCAAATAAATGAAACCCTGGCTTCTGAATTTAAGAAAATTGGGTCTCGGAAGCCAGCTCCTTCCTAAAATTGCAAACTTTTGTTGGTCTAAGGAGGTTTCGATCCTTGGACATCGTAACTTCTTCTATAAATTATTAAGAAATGTAATAATATATCGTTAACAAAATACTAAGTAATGTCTCCTAATAAGGCCCACTGTTTATGACCGCTGGCTGTTAAAAATCTAACTGAAATAGTTTATTGCATTCTTTCATCCTTACTAATGAATCGGCACAAGTCTGTAGATAATTGAGATGTATTGTAGTTGACATTTTGCACTCAAGCGACGATTGTATCTTTATATAATATACCAATTGGTGTTGCACAAACTTTGACAAAATTGTACGTCAAAATCTACACCTTTGTTTAAAGTATTTTTAAACTTCCGTATTTAAAAAGATTATGAAAAGGGTTTGAAGGTGCGCTCCAACTTAATCAATAGGATCCTATGAACAGATAATAGAATGGAGGCCCTTGTGTGTTGAAAAGGTGGGAAGGTTATTGAATTACCTCTGTATAATACTCACTCTTGTCCGCGTATAAGTTTCTGAACGGCATTCCGACGGCTTCACGTCTCAGCATTTCGACAGTGAATCATAGACGCCAGTTCGTTTTATAATCCACAGTTCACTTTACACTAAAATGGATATGTTTGATCGTCTTTTTATCAAACTGTCCACTATACACTTAAATTTATATTGAATCTATTCCACTGATGATTATTTTATGTAAAAAAAACATTCTGATCCTTATTAGGCGACAAGGTTTTATTTAATCCATGGCTAGTTTTCCGAATAGTAAACAAAATTGCATTCTATGATATATACCACAATAAAAGAAAATTACCAAATGACCAAACACATTGGGGGATCCCTATAATTAGGTGTTTATTATAACATGGAGTTTTAATTTAGAACAGTCTGGAACTCTGCTTGTAAAAAAAGGTGAACTAATAAAGATAAGCAAAGTTCGACTCGAATTCACACGCTTAGGATTGAGTACCATAGCACAATTTAAAGATTATTCTTAACTAGCGACCTTCAAGTCATTAGCATTGACTCGAATCAAACGCACTCAACGTTCAATACAATTAATGTTACAAACTAAGCTGCGTATCAATAGTGAATTATTAAGTAGATTTTAGCCTACAATCTTATGCAGCAACCTAAACATTTGATCTCAAGTTTTCCTCAAAAAAATAACTATCTAATTTAAAAAAAAAAACATCAATTGTTTAATTTTACATATAGAAACCGTGACGAATGATCATAACGATGAATAACCGGAACGAAAGCAATTTGCACGTGAGCCTAAAAAGGTTTTCCATAAGACAGGTGCTCACGTGTGAACTCACAGACGGTTAGTTTACAAGTATCGGAACAAAGGGAGTAAACGAGTGAAAGATCCATCCAGGAATAGCTCGCATTAATCACAAACGGCGTTATTCGCCTGAGTCACGACACGAGGGGACGCAAACATAGGCCGCTTCTAAATCTGGCAACACTTTAGGGATCGGTGAAGAAAAATATGCAGCGGTTAAAGTGTTGACCAAGTGGGTCACTGTCTAATGCCATTCATGTCAAAAATATATCCGCTTCTTTTTGAATATCTTTAATGTTTTAAAACGAAATATGAATGATATTAAACATTGAAACGTTCATGCAATTTTAATAATTGATTCTATAACAAAGTAGAAAGATAATAAGACCTTTTTAAAGCGATTTTTTGACTAATAATTTCACAATTTATTTTATTTTCTAAATGTGGGTTGATTTTTTTATTCCGTAACTAAATATTAAAATCGAGTCTTGATCTCCCATATGGATGTCAATTAGTATGCGAGTGAACACCGTAATATTACTGTTCTTTATTTAATATTTGAACCAGCATTTCTATTGTTTTTATAGTCAAATTAGTGTATCCTGTAAGCAGAATATGCAGTCCTTAAGCGTTAAATGTTAACGGCATGTCGAGTGACTCCATTCATTATTGGGTCCCGTCTAATTACACTGCCAGTGGAAATGAATTGTTAGCTAACAAACTTCCTTGTTTAGCATACAGTTAGTGTTCAACGGTCACTTTAATGTTAAGAATACATATATTAAGATCTGTTTAAATTGCATTATATATTTTAATATCTCATAATGTAACAAGGCACTCTTGGAAACTCCTTTCATTTATAATTGTTTAATATACACAGAGAACTGTTAGGTTTGTTAAAAAGTAGCCTATATGTCTGAAATCTGTTCAGTAGTTTATGCGTGAAGAAGTCACAAACTTACTAACTTTCGTATTTGTAATATTAGTAAGATTGCAGTCACTGAAAATTTACTCTGAATAGACGTAAGAGACATCATGTATTCAAATAAACTATTCTAAATCCAAAAACATAATATTCTAATTGTAAATATGATTTATCCTCTCCTCTTATTAAGTATAAAATACTGAAACAGTGATACAGATATTTTTAAATTTTAAAGTCATGACAATATCTTAAGCACAATTGAAAAAAAATCTATACTATTGATAAATTGAAATCCAATAATATGGATTCATTCTTGTAAAAACGGCGTAAAGTTTAAATGAATGTGGTATTCCTAATTAAAGCGATCTTTGAATCTAAAAGCTACGTCCTTCAAATGCACAATTTTTAATGCTGGTTTGACTGAAACAGTTATAATTAGAGCGTATATTTAATTATAATTATTTATAAACTGCATAAATTTAATAATGCATTGAAAAATTACGAACTTAAAAATATGACCCTATTGTTACTTCTGTTGTAACTACTAATCTCAAAATAAAAAATATTAATTTGGCTTTTCTTAAAAGATATTCCGAAGTTATCATCATTTATGTTTATTAGATAGATCGATAGTACTGTAACTTAGCTTAGTTTTTGTAACAGAATTGCTATCAACACCGTCCAATAACGCCCGCAGATTTTGAAAGATCATATAATAAAAAAAACAATCAAAGACATTAAAATTTCATTGTTTTCGGATTTTAATGCTGCAATTAGAGAACTTTTAAAATCAATGGGCCTTATTAGCCGACCAAACATCTATTAGTAATAAGTTTTAATTCTGATATCTTCATGTTTGTGGAAGACTATCTGAGAATAAAATTAGTCACTGTACTGATTTATGCTTTGAAAATAACTCAACTGAACGCATCAGTAAGCGCCACCGGATGAACGGCGTCGCTCTGCGCTTGTGTGGAAACTCTTTTATTTTATCTTGTAAACTTCCTGCGAATTGTAATACATTTATAGTATAATGCGGTTTTCATTTTATTATTAAGTGCATAAAAATGAAATGGCAGTTTTTTTATATAATATTTTTTTTCCGCCAAGAAATTATCAAAATTCTGGAAAAAGTAGAGGTTTATACGCGCAAGATCTGGCAAGTACAGCGGATGACGGAGAAAATCCAACTCCTGCTCTTGTAGCTTGGAGATCGTCTGCTGTGCAGTATGAGGTCGCGCGTTATCGTACAGGAGCAGTGGAGCCGAACGATTGACCAAAGCTGGTTGGAGACGTGCGAGCTTCTCCATCATTGTGTTCCGTTCTTTACAGTACACATCTGCAGTAATGCTCGTCTCGTTTGGTAAAAAAATGTGATGATTACACTCGCATTAGACCACCAAACAGTGACCATCACTTTTCTAAGAAATATCTTAGTGATAAATAGAAATAGTATTGCAAGTTAATTTTAGCATTAAGGTTCGGTAGATTATTAAGGTATTAAGAGATGTATGAAGTACTCTCGACCAGACCGTCTGACGTCCCGTTTTCTTTGTAAAAATTAAGACGTAGGAACAATCGACCTTATTTTTTCAGTTATCCCTCTTTCTTGTATGACGTCATTTCCTCATATATTCTCAAACCCACATTTTTTTAAACCGTCTTAAGACATATCTTACCTAAATACGGTTAACATATTAACTCACCTTTCGTTATCATCCTATAGTAATAACATGAGTAATAACATACGTCTTTTATTTGTCTGTCATAGATTTTTCTGAAATTCAAAATTTAACTTGGTCTTTCGCTTCCAACATACAAAAAGCAGAGTTTATAAAATACTAAAGTTTAAATTAAATTGAGCGAAACACTGGATTCTGACGAAATCTACAAGGGCAACGCCATTAATTAAATAGAAGCGGAAGAAGACCGTCTGACGGATTACTGACACAGATGCAAGGATAAATGCCATATTCATATTTTATCAGTTCTGAAGTTTTGCGACCCATGCATGATACTCAAAGGATCTGCCATCAGATATGCATCGACCTTAAGTTTGTCAGTTTTTAATTTCAGAATACTTTTGGCCTTAATTATGTTCTATTTACCAATATATAAATTACTATGATAAAAGTAACGTATCATAATTAAAAACATTTGTATTTTACATTCATCCAAAACCAAGATTTTTTGTTTCATTTTGTATTCGAAGGAGTATTAATGTGTGTTTACCATCACCAAGAATAGATCGACGTCGTTACGATCACGTATTGCTATTGGAAGTGTCTCGGACACGAGACATCCGGAGTTCCACGTATTTAGGCCATAATGGGCATCGAAACTCAATAGGCGTGGGTGGTACACTACTTCGGAAAGAATTGTGTACTTTACTATTCCAGTATCACCATTTATATTAAAAGGAAGTCTATGAGTCTACTTAATAACATATTCTTTATGATAAATCGAAAAATTTTCATTAAGTTTTTCGGGTTCCGTACCTCAAAAGTAAGAATTAGAATATATATCTTTAGGAATAGAACCACTTTGTTACCTGAACTGACTATCTGTATATGGTCTCTCTATAAACATTTCCTAATAAACGAATGAGGATAAGTTGTTGTGAGTATCAATCACTCAAGTTTATAACCCTTTGAAAAATAGCGGACTTCTAACTCAATGTAATCGTAAGATTAAAATTCAATCAGATAGATCAGCTTTAATTATGCAGACGGCCTGCAGGCCTGTCCCAAGAAATAAGACGACAATTTTTCTTTGTTCGATTTTTTTTAATAGAACAAATATTATCGGTACTGTTTGTTGTCTATGCCGTAGAGTGGCTCCCGATATTGTACATGATCATAAACGAAAGTAACATACGCTATGATGTTGAAAACACATGTGTGTGCATAATTTTCAAACGGCCGTTATGATGTATTGTATCAGTCAGTCTCAAGCGGTCTCAAGTTTTAGTAAGCTTAAGAGTTATTTTAAGCATAAATTTTATATTATATCGAAAAAAAAATCTTTCCATTTTTTCGATATAATTTTTCTTTAATAACTGAAAAACTATTATTGTTGAAAAATACGAAAAAATATATAGTTGAGATTCTTATAATAACCTCTTTCATAGAACATATCAATGTTAAATAGTTTTCAAAACTTTAATCTTGATTTTATAATGTACCCCCCACGTCCGCCATGTTACCCAATCTATCTAGTACCCTTTAAAAATGGAAATTAAACAGATTCCCAAATGAAATCTCCACACTCCGACCAAGTTGCATTAGCCTCTTATTCACGCCAAGACAAATTTGCTAAGAAGTTAATTTATAACCGC